GGAGGGGAAAGTCCCTGGATTTTAATTCCTGGGCCATTATTGTCCCCAGAAAGGTTTGTGGGTCTAGGTTCTGGGGGTAGGGGATTTATTATCCTCTTGGGTGGGTTTAGTGCTGTCAGTGATGGCATTATTGCCCTAGCAGCACGTATATATGTGGGGATGTGGGTTATTGCCCCACTGAAGTACCCAGACAGTTCATGCCTCTCTCCTTTGTTTCATGCTGCCTGCAGACTCAGGCACACATGACAGCAACAGTTCGCACTCTCCAGTGGAGACATTTCCCTTGCAGCCATCAGGGACACGGGCCTTTGGAAACCCAGGACAGAAGCCCAGGGCCGGATTAAGCTCTTCGTAGGCCCTAGGCACTCTCATAATTGTAGGCCCTTAAATTAGACTATATAGAAATATATAAGGGAGAAATGCCCTATCACCTATACACCTAATATCACTCACTTTAATTTTTGCTCTTGAAAGTGGCACACTGTGAGAGACATTCACAGTACTTCATTCTAAAATAACAGCCATTTTGTTGTATACTGCAGTTATGCTTGGATTCACATGATAGTTAATCGGCTGGTAAGGAGAAAAGTAAGGGGATGTTGCTGCTGCTACAACTGCAAAATCCGCAGAACAATGCAAGAGGAAGCATGATTCTGGATATGTAAAGCAAAAGGGAAAAAAAGGAACAAGGTTTTAAAAAAGATGCAGAGGTTCTCTGCTGACTTTCCTGAGAAAAGATATGAGGAGTGACAGTGCAAGCTCTCCCCTTGATCCATCAGCATCAGACTTGGAAAACAAAGCTGCAGAACATGTTTGAAGCAGACGTCACTGGAAGTGGTGTTGAACCTTCAAGATCAAGTGAGGAACAAACAAGGGTAAGTCAGGCTGCTTCAGAAGTGACCATGACAACACTGGCAGGGGATGTGATAGAAACAGAGACATGGAAGAAAACATCAGATTTTGTCACATTAAAATATAGTTCTGATCCGTCAGAGTGGGAAATCACTCCATATTTCATAAAATATTTTGCAGAAAATACACCTTCCCAGAATTTGAATTTCGATTTCTTATTGCAGGGTAGGCAATTTGGTAAAAAGAAAAGTTATGCACGCAAAGAATATTTTTTCAGGCAAGTGGCAGATTGTCTGAAGAGAATGGCTTATTTATTCTCCCTCAGCTGGTAAAGTGTATTGCTACATATGCAAACTATTCTGTGTCAAAAGACAGAACTATGTAGCACTTGAAAGACTAACAAGATGGTTTATTAGGTGAAGTGGGTCTGGCCCACGAAAGCTCATCACC